ACATCTTTCATTTGTTCAGTATTACTATTTTATTTATCAAATAACTGTTTAAGGTAAGGTTGACTCTTATATTATGTATTCCATCAAAGTTTGGTTTTTTGCACTGACCTTTTGTAGGTGAAACTATATGTTGAAACCAAGAAAAAAAAGAGTCACAGAACAAGGTACTCCTTTTCTTCGTTTCTATTTGGTATCTCATGCGTTCTTAGACACCGTTTGTTTATAACACAATCTAAATAGTCTCTATTCTATGCTATTCTATGAATCTATTTTCGTTTTTATTCGTTTCCAGATCTATGTAGTATTTTACAAAAGAGCAAAAAAGTGGAAGTAATCGAATTTATTTGAATATAAGATATGTCGACCGTATTTCGGAAGCTCATTTCACTAATCGATTGACTTGGTTATTGCTTGAATACCAAGCGATTTCAAAAACAATTTCAAAATTAAATCAGGTTTCCATAGCAACCGTCTGTGAATAATGATTCATTCAAAATCATGATCTCGTTTACTATGAGAAAAGTCGTGAGTAAATAATAAAACAAAAAAAAAGACTCAAAGAGTCTATTCATTAACACAATAGTTCTTATCATTTGAGTTCGATGTAGAAAGAATCGATTTGATTTGCATATATAAGATTCTATTTGATTAAAGTAACTTTGTTTTTTTTTTAAATTTTAGTGTAAATATGAGTTTTGGTGAAAAATTTCTTGATATTTTTTCGAAAAGAAAAACATCACAATCAAAATCAGAAATTTCATCACCTTTAAATGTTACTAAAAATTTTCATGTTTCTTACGATTCACAAACAAACACGTTTCATGGTTTACCATTAGAATGGGAACAACAAGTGAAAAGTTTATTTTCGTAAGATATTCTTTTGTTTTGGTTTTTTTCTATTTAATGCATGAAAAATTTTACAATATGAAATTTTTAGACATTCAAGACCTGAAGAGAAAGCTCGTGTTATGACATGTGCACTTAAAGTTATTCAACAGACACTTCGAGAAAATCGTTAGTATTTTATTAGTATTTAAGCAATTTGTTTTTTTGAATACATTTTTTTCAAATAGATAATCACACAAAACATTTACATATTCAAGATTCATGTCATTCAGATGGCTTATCTTATGAGTCAGGAGATGAATTAAGTGAAACAGAAAGTGATCTCGGATACACACAAGAAAAGTTATATCTTAATAGTTCATCTTCATCATTACCGAAGAAAGATGAATCTGGTAACTATAAACATAAAATATATAGAAAAATTCTAATCTTATCTCATGCTCTCTTGAAAAGCTAATCGTCCAGGTGCTAAAAAATATAATCCTGGTGTAGCGCCGCTATATGTGAATATTAGTGTAAGAAGAATTTCTTTATCTTAATATTTTAGTTATTTTTTACTGAATATTTTATTTTGCTAGTCAAGTGATAATTTTGTTCAAGAGCTCAAGCGTGCTACAATTCTCCGTCAAAAGAATTTAAATGTATGTATTAATGCTAGATAGTAATATGTAATTGGATGAAACATGATCTAAAAGGATTCTTGAACTCTATAGGGTAGTGATGCAATCACAGTCTCTCATCCGATTATGATAAATATTCTGACAATATGTCACAGACCGTGACAGACATCTTCAGGAAGCATGACAGACCATGAGAGATATTATTGATATACAATCACAAATCGTATATGAAAAACATTTTGTTATAACAGATGAGCTACTTCCTTATTGCATTTCTCGAGGATTGAGTCAAAGCAGGCTGAAGAAATGTAGTCCAAGATGAACAGTGTCCCATTGCTTAACAAGAACAGCTACATCGTATTTTACATTTTGATCATGTAAGGATTATGCTAACAACTCTCTTTTTTGAATTAGCTGAATACTGGAAAATCTGATGATGACGATGATGATAATCATTCACCTAAATTCATGACACCATCAAATTCACGTCCTGATACTCCTACTTATCTTCAAAATAGACAAGGAAATACAAACAAACATATATATCAAGATAATCGTGATACACTTATTAATGAGGATATAAATGCCAATGAATATTTATCTACATCAATGTCTTCAAATTCATCAAAACAAACACCGACTGTCCCTACCCCTTTTGCATCTTCTCTTCCAGTACGTCATCATTCTAATAGTGATATTATATCAAAAAATAATATCAATGGAAAAGAACATAAAAAAAGTGATCAACCACCAGAATTACCACCTAAAACAGCACGAGTGATAGCTGCAACTGCCAAATTATTATCATCTAATAATGCTACTAAAAGTCCAGCTATTAATATAGATAATCATTCTCCTGTAACATCTACATCACAACCTGTAAGTTCATCAAATGAATTACAACCAGTTCATCGACTAAAATCAAAAAACAATAGAAGAAAAATGACAGAAGCAGAAGCAATTAAAGAACTTGGTTAGTTGAATAATATTATATTAGAACATCTATTCAATGATCTCATATTTTTTTTAGAACCGATAGCCGGAAAAGATGATCCAATGTCAAGATTTATTATACAGAAAAAAATTGGTTCAGGGTACGAATATATATTTTTGTTTCATCATTTATAGTTGTTAAATATTTGTTTTATCTTATTAACAGAGCAGCAGGTGATGTTGATTTAGCTATTGATACAAAAACAAATACAAAGATAGCTATTAAACGAATGCTTTGGTCAAAACAACCAAGAAAAGAATTAATTGTTGGTGAAATTCTTGTCATGAAAAATTGTCGATTTCGTTCTATAGTTAATTTTCTTGATTGTTATTTAAGACCAAATGAATTGTGGAGTAAAGAATTTTGGTAAATATAAATTTAAGAATAATATATTTTTTATGTAGTTGTAATGGAATATATGAATGGTGGACAATTAACACAAATTGTTGAACAAACAGTTCTTGATGAAGGTCAAATGGCAGCTGTTACAAAAGAATGTCTTGAAGCATTACAATTTCTTCATAGTAAAAATATTATTCACCGTGATGTTAAATCAGACAATGTACTTGTTGGTTTCGATGGTTCAGGTAGGGAAAAAAAATACAGCCAATGTAGTATTATACAAAACAAAGATTTATTCATAACTTCATTTAGTCAAATTAACGGATTTTGGCTTTTGTGCTCAATTAGCTAGTACTGAAAGTTTACGAACGACTATGGTTGGTACTCCTTATTGGATGTCACCAGAAGTAATTAAAAAGTAATGTTTATAAATTATATGAAATGTAAAACTTTTATTAAAATATTTATTTTCTAGACTAAAATATGATCGAAAAGTTGATATTTGGGTACGTCAAAAAAAAAAATTTCTATGAGCTAATCGATTGCCTTTTTTATCTATTTAGTCATTAGGTATTCTAGTGATTGAAATGATTGACGGTTCACCACCGTATATAAATGAACAACCATTTCGTGCTATGTGTAAAATAGCTATGCAAGAAGAACCTCCATCAATAAGTGCTGAATCCCAAGCACGTATGTCAAATGATGCAATGAATTTTCTAAAACGTTGTCTATCAATTGATCCTCAACAACGAGCCGATACAGCTGAACTTCTTGGACATCCATTTATTAAACGTGCTAAACCATTGAAGTCACTTTGTCCAAACATAAAAGCCGTTTGTAATAGTGATATAGATTAAAAACAAAACAGTTTTCTTTTCGCCATATATTTCCTATGTGTATGTCATTCTTTTCTTTTTTTTTAATGCTATTTGTTCTTAATTGTTATAACTAAACAAATATACGTGTGTGTATTGTCTAGTTGTTTGTGTTATTTACTTTCAAAACACATAAACTGATTGAAGAGAAACTCTTCCAAAAAAGATTTTCTTTTGTTTTTTTTCGTTTTTTTTTTTATTGATCATTTTTATTCTGTGATTTTTTTTTGTATACGGTTTTTTTGTCTTTTTTTCCTACTCATATACGAATAGTTTTTTCTATTACGGAAGACCGAAACGATATAGAGGAGTATGGTTCATCGAAATTTTTTCTTTTTTGTATTCTGTCGTAATGTTAAATGTTGCTACTTCGCTTTTGTTTTTATAATTTCTTAAATAAAATGAAATCTAGACTGCATGAAAATGACTTCGTTTTTAATATTTATTTTTGCTTGTAGATGTTGAATTTCAGTTGGAATTCAATTGACGAATCTACGTGAGTTTTGAAGATATGTAACTATTTTATGAGATATTTTTTTTTGACACATATCAGATTTCAAGGTCATCTAAACAAATATACGAATGCATTTAAAGGATATCAAAGCAGATATTTTGTGTTGGATGCACAAGCAAAAAGTTTATTATATTTTATGGTACGTATGACATAATTCTTTGTTGAAAAACTTATCTTATGTTTTGATTATAGCCAGATGAAGTTCGAAAGAAAGGTCCAAGAGGTGTAATTGAATTAACAGATTGTTGGATATCACCATCGAACGAAGATGATGTGACTTTTACTCTACAAACTGGAAGTGGAGATGCATTTAAGTTACGAGGTAAATTCAAGTTTTTTTTTTCATACAGTGGTTGAAAAGTCTGAATAATAAAAAACATGAATAGCTCCTCAACAATTCAAAGGATTTACATAATTAATGAAACAAAAATTCGATGAAGTTTATGATATATGTAAAGATGAGCCACGATCAATTGTGTGGTCTATGCAACTCTTCTTCACAGAATTATAGAACAAATTATATGTTGTATGGCTTTAACAAGAGATGTTTCGTTATAATGCTGTATGTTGTTGTTCATCATAATGAACAGACTTGTGCAATAGACCAAATACTTCATTCTGGCTCATTTTCACAAGTATTCTCAACTTCACTGATTTTTTTCTTCAATAATTGTGATAGGTCTCCTGGAACTTGATTGATTGTCGACAATATCAGTTCCACAAAATCACGGAAATGTGATTCTAATATTGGATTCAGTTTATACGTTTTTGCCGAAATTGACTTACAGCTTAATTTTTTCAATGTTAACTGACTTGAATTTTGCCATGAGTAAAACAATTTTAATTATGTCTTGTTTAGATGCAGACATTTGATCTGACAACTTTATTGACCGTGTGATCAAACTATAAAAAAAATACTCAAACCTTTTGAATTGCTGAAGAGCTATTCACAATGTTGTATTGCTCGGATTGTGAAAATAGAGTACTGCACGAGCACAACTTTTCGTATCAGTATCCGATCCACGCAGAAACTATCTACTTGTACCCAGGTTTGGGTACCCGAATCCTGGGTTACATTACTCTAAACACATCCCTGATAGTTTAATAGAACCAGAAGGCTAATTAAACCGAGTTTTACTTGTTCGTGTTCGATTAGGTTCGTTCCATTTTTGATCTCTGAATAGATTGACCAATCAACTGTGTGATCACTGATATTGCTATTGAATAGCAGCATAAAAAAATACATATTTCTAAAATTTTTATGAATTGCACTGTTAAAAACGAAGTTTGTATCTCCACAGATCGTTACTTTTCACACTTGTACCAGGGCACAGGTCTTTCATTCATGGCTGGTAGTACTCTATCATGGAACATCTTGTATATTGTCTTTGTAAATAAATGAATCTTTCTTTTTAGCATTTGATGCTAAAGAAAGACAAAAATGGATAGATAAATTACGGGCATGTTCAGGAACGAATGCAGCTAATGTTGTAAGCATTAAAAAATAATCTTCTTTTATTTGTTATATAAATCAATCATTTCTTTTTTGTTAAGTATGTTTCATCTTTACCAATATCAAAAACACAACAAACAAATACATCAACAGCGACGAATTTACCTAATGAGATAAATATTCGTTCCCCGACTCAAAGAAATTCACAGTATGAGACTTAGAATTACATATTATTGATTCAATAAATAATAATCTAATGATTTTCTTTTAATTTCATAGGTTATATGAAAATCAACATACACTTAAAGAACTTAAAGAAGTCATACGTTGTGTTGAAGTCAATCAACGAGAATTTGTTGAAACAATTTATGTATGTTATGTTTACTCCATTGATTAATTTTATTATTTTTATACTCCTTTTTTTAGACACTACCTGATGATATTTCTTTGAATTTAATGTCTAAGGTTAAGTTAACATAAGATAATATGATTGTCTGTTATTTTTTAATTTTTTATATACTAGAATATGTTACTTCTTCGTTCCATATCTCAATCATGCATAGGTTCATTACAAGATAGTTTAACAATACTCACTAGAAGAAGGTTTGAATTTAAACATAAAACAAAACAAAGAAAATGATATTTTCGATTTTTAATTAGAATGCCAGAGAATGAAATACTTGCTACATCTGTACCATCAACACCATTACTGCAATCATCAATAGCAGTAACAAATACTTCAAATAAGCAATCGAGTCAATCTATTAATAATAGTACTAGTGGAAAATCAAGTTCACCTAGTGGTTTATCAGCACAATCAAATCCATTTGCTGTACAAAACAAAAATCCAAGGTATTTGATTTAAAACTTTAACTTCGCAATTTTTTCCATTCAATAGATTCTGCGTACAGAAGTTCCCAAACGGTTCGACTATGTTGAATTCTAACAGCTAAATAATATGGTTTTTAGTTTTGCAGAGACGCAATTCTTGAGAAACTGGTAATCTTCTCATTTTCAAAAGTACTTGCTAGAATTAAAATGCTTTCCTAAAATGGATATTTGAATTCTTGTTAGCTGTTTAGCAGCAAGACAGTGTTCAAATCATGCTAAGTTACGAAAATAATTTTGGATTTTGGAATGAGCCGGCGGTCTAAACATTTTACAGATACAAAAGGAATTTTGAGTGTTTCTTTGATTTCAAAGCTTTATAAGACAATATGGAAAAGCTTAGTAGAATAAAAAGTTATGCATCGAATGGTCTTTTCTTTTACTTCACCGACTTTTTTTTTGATTGACATTGGACAATGATGAATAGCAAGTGCAATGTTTGTTTTATGGTAATACAAAGGTCGCAGATTGTATACTTACGAAAAGAAAGACAAACAAGAACAAATTCTATGATAGAATCGTACTGTCTCAACTATGAAATATGGAGAATGAAAAGAGGTTGAGGACATATTCTTTGTTTCCAACTATGACATGAACGAAAGAAAACAGGATTGAGAAATTAAGTTTTTTTCAAGAGAAAGAAAAAAGTTCTTGGTACCGAAGTCTAACTCTAGTCAAATTACAAAAACTTCACTTATGTCGGACACGACAGCAGAACTAAATCGAAAGTAAGTGTATTCGCATTATTTTGAGAGTCACTCTATGTAAGCGAGAACAACATATTTAATACTATGGGAATAAATTTCAATCACGTGTTCATTTTTATAAAAGACAATAGAAGAAAATTCTAATTCAAACTTTTTTTTATTATAGTCTTGCTGGCTTTAATCAATCAAATGAAAACAGTAGTATCAATAAAGACACTAAGAAGTAAATTTAATGCTATGGATTTATTTGAAATATTCATGTAGTTATTGTAAATAATAGCGAATAGTGGCACTCAATCGACACCATAATGTCTTGATTTGTATTGTGATTATAACTAGTCAATGACCGTGATTTAAATTATTTATTATATGTACATATTTGATTGTTTCAACTAATAAGTTTTAGTTTGAGCTGTTTTAAAGATATTATTGTTCATGCAACGAAGTTATATAAATTTATTTATTGATGTTTATGTTTTAATTTTTTTCAATCGCAATAAACTTATGCTAATATGATTTCAAATTTGATACAGTCTAGTTATCTGTTTTTGGTAATTTTAGATGCCAGAAACAATGACTCAAAAGGATAACCTTTTGAGTCTTTTTTCAATTGAAGTACTCATAAGCCATGTTCATATTGATCTTAATGTAGAATGTCATTTGCCTTGTATAGTTTTTCGCTTACTTGATTATCCAGCTGTATCAATCCCTTATTTTGATCAATGGCAAATAGAAGATTTTCATAATTTAAAAAAAGATTATCCAAATATATCCTGGCGTCAATTACTTTCTGATCAATTTTATGAACTTCGTTCAGCTAATGGAAAATTTAATTTTAATCGTGGTAAATCATGTCTATTTAAAATTTATTTTAAAACATTATATACACATTTATTAAATGTACCACTTTTTATTTTACTTATTGATCAAATTAATGATAGTCATACAAATAAATCACATTTTATTGGTAGTTGTAATGTTAAATTAAATGAATTAATTGAAATATTAAATCAATCAATTATTAACAATGGATATGACATACCTCTTGTTGAACAACAAACATTTCATTGTATACTTTTTAATTTAATGGGTACTAAAATTGGTACTTGTCATATTGCTGTTCGACTTTGTCATTATGGTACAACTATTTTAACACATTTACCCATGCTTGATGATGAACATGCAACAAAAACAGATAAAAAGTAAGATCATTATGAATTTGCTATAGACAGTGCTATGAGAAATTATAAAATAATCCTCCGCTTTTGA